CTCAGACGCTGCGGAAGGCTGGTCCCTGAGCAGGCACACTGTGCCCTCGGCCGCTACTGCAGAAGTAAAGTTGTCTGACCAGGAGGACAGAGGAGCCAGGCCAACAGGAACGCAGCTAAACCAAGCAGAGCAGCACCTGCGGAGGGAACAGGGCGGGCTCGGGGTCCAGCTGGCCCCCTCAGGTTCCTCGTTTGTTTGTGGATGTGGGGGCAGGGCACACTGGGTCCATTCTGAATGCAGAATTAAGAGGACCCTTTACTGTCCTGTTTCTGTGTGTGTGTGGTTGTTTTGGTCCTATTTTCTTTCTTCTTTCACTCTATATGGCAGGTGTTTTTACAGGTGCAAAGGAGCATAAGGGTGTGTTAGTTCTTTAGGTTTCCCTTTTCCGTAACATTCTTTATTAGTGTTTGCGATAGATAGTAAATCCATTCATGGTGGGGAATCGGAACATTTACATATTGAATTTTAATCCTCTTTACTTTCCCTTCCCCTCCTCTCCATCCCATCAGGCCCCATTTTCAGATCCCCTTCCCAACACCACAGAGTCTGCCTCCCTGTTGTCTATTATCTATCTTTTAAAAATATTTACTTATCAGTACATGTTTGCAATACATGATGACTCCTTTCATTGTGGGTATTTGGTATAGGTATCTGACACATCTTAAATTTTCTTTTGAGAAGTGTCTATTTCAATTTCTCATTTTTAATTGGGTCTTTATTTTGGAGATCTATTTTTTGTGTTCTTTATGTAGTTTAGATATTAGTTCTCTGACTGTGGAGTAGTTGGCAAGGAACATAAGCTGTCTATTCATTTTGTTATTTGTTTCGTTTGCTGTTCTGGAGTTTTTAGTTTGATGTAATTCCATTTGTTTATTGAAGGTGTTAGTTCTTATGCAACTGAGATTCTGTTCAGAAAGTCCTTGGCTGTACCTATATCTTCAAGAATTTTTCCTATTTTATCTTTTATCAGCATATTTAGTGTTTCTGATTTTATATGTCTTGGATCATTTTGATTTGATTTTAGGACAGGGTGAGATATAGTTCTAGATTCATTCTTCTGTGTGTGGATAACCAGTTTTTCCAAACCATTTGTTGAAGAGGCTATCTTTTCTCCAGTAAGTGTTTTTGGGTCCATTGTCAAAGAGGAGATGGTTGTTGTGGGGCTGGGGATTTGGCTCAGTGGTGCTGCACTTACCTTGCAAGTGCAAGGTCCTGAGTTTGATCCCCTGTACCACACACACACACAAAAGATGAAATGGTTGAATGTGCCTGAGGTTGTTCCTTCATCTTCAGCTGTGTTCCACTGATACACATATCTGTATTGTCAGCAGTACCATGCTGTTTTTATCATGGTAACTTTGTAGTATAACTTGATTGTGATGCCTCCTGCTTTGCCCGTGTTTCCCTCCTACTGCTTGTGTTATTATGGGTCTATTCTGATCTCATATAAATTTTAGGATTGTTCTTCATAGTTCTGTAAGGAATGCTATTGATGTTTTGATTGAGATTGCCTTAAATCTATATATCATTTTTGGTAACATGGCCATTTTGACAATATTGGTTCTGGCTACCAGGAATAGGGAATAGCTTCCCATTTTCTGATGTCCTCTTCAATCTCTTCAGAGTTGTATAGTTTTGTTAAAGAGGTTTTTTATATTCTGGTTTAGTTTTTTTTGTTTTTTGGTACCAGGGATCAAACTTGGGACCTTGTGCTTGCAAGGCAGGCAGTGGGACCACTGAGCTAAATCCCCAGCCCGGTATTTAGTTTTTTTGAAATTATTGTGAATGGACTGTTTTCCTATTTTTTTTCTATGTGGATTCATTTTTGGTGTGCAGAAATGCTATTGATTTTTCACATTGATTTTGTCTTTTGCAGAATTTTTTCATTAGCTCTAAAAGTCTTCAGGTGGAGGTTTTTGGGTCTTCTATTAAAAGATTATGCCATTTACAAATGGAATGATCAGATCAAACTTCTTTCTTTCCCCTTCAAATTGCTTTTATTTATTTTTCTTTCCTGATAGCTCTGACTAAAGTTTTTTTTCTGACTAAAGTTTTTGAATACTGTGTTGAACAGGTGTGTTGAGAGTACTTCCTTGTCTTCTTACTGATTTTAGAGGATAAGCTTTCAGTTTTTCCACATTTAATATGATGTTGGCAGTAGATTTGTTATAAATAGCTTTTATGAATTTGAAATAAGGTCCTTCTATACTTATTTTCTTTAATCTTTTTAACTATGAATGGATGTTAGATTTTGTCAAAGGCTTTTTTCTGCTTCTATGGAGATGATTATGTGTTTTTTGTCTTTGCTTCTGTATATGTATTGCATTTATTGATTTACATACGTTGGACCTTCCTTGCATCCCTGGGGTGAAACCAAGTTGGTTGTGATGTATGATCTTTTTAATGTGTTTTTGCATTCTTTTACCAGTATCTTGTGGAGAATGTTTTTGCTTCTCTAGTCTATAAGGAAATGGTCATGCAGTTTTATTGTTTTGTTAAAATTTTGTCTTGTTTTGATATCATGACAATGGTATCTTCTAGGAATGAGTTTAGTAGTGCTCTTCCCCTTTCAATTTCATAGATGTGTTCACGTGTTCGAGGAGTATTGGTGTTAGAACCCCAGAGTTCCTGTAGAATTCTGTGTTCAATTCATGGGGTCCTGGGCTTTTCTTAGTTTGTAGGGTTTTCATTACTGTCTCTATTTCATTGCCTGTTATTGGTTTATTTAGTGTTTTGTTATCTTCTTGGTTCAATTTTTTTGTAATTTATATGTTTCTAGGAGTTTCTCCATTTCTCCTATTTTCTCCAAATTTTGGAATATGTGTTTTCCAAATAGTTTCTTATATTTCTCCATTTTTTTAATGGTGTGGTTTGACTTTGATATTTTTGGTTGATTTTTCTGGTTGACCTGTATTTGTGGAGTATGGTATTGAAGTCTCCTGCTATGATTGTTTAGGGTCTGACTTAGTAACTTTTTTTGTTGACGAGACAAAACACCGAACACCCAAAGTTAAAGGAGGAAAGGTTCATTTTAACTCACAGTTCATAGTTGCCTGGCTCCAAGGCATGGTGCCATGGCAGAGGGGCATCATAGAGGAGAAACAGTCCATGGCAGGGCAGGCAAGAGGCAGGAAGTTAACAAAGCAGTGAATAGTCAGGAAGCAGCAGTAGCAGCAGCCAGCCTCTCCCTTTTATCCCTTCCAGACTTTCTGCCCTTTGGGTGGAGCCACTCACACCTAGGTGGGCCTTCCTATTCTCTACACCCAGAACTATGTCAAACCAATTAGTGTACTAATTTAGTAATCACACACCCTTAATGCCAGCATCACAACTTAATCCCAGCATCCATCACACACTCTAGATCCAGCCACATCTGAAAAACTCCAACTATGTTTCCATGAGGCTTTGGGGGGACATCTAGACACAAGCCATAACAGGATCTATCTGTCTTTTTATAGCCAATAGTTTTTGTTTTGTGAGTTTTTGTTCACCAACATTTGATGCACCTATATTTAAAATTGCAATGTCTTCATTTTTAATTGTCCCCTTTACCAGTGTGTAGTGGTCAACTTTGTCCCTTCTGATCAGTTTTGGCTTGAATTCTGCTGTGTCTGAAGATAAAAGAGCCTCTCTGGGCCGGGAATTTAGCTCAGTGGTTCTGCTGCCTGCCCTGAGAACGCAAGGACCCGAGTTCCATCCCCGGTACCAACAAATTATAAAACTAAAAAAAACCCCAAAAACCTAAATAAATATTTTTTTTTTAAAAAAAGAGCCTCTCCTGGTTGCCTTCAGGCTCTGGTTGCATGGACTGTCATATTCCATCCCTTCACTTTTGTACCTTGGTTCATGAATGCTTCTGTTTGCAAACAATTCAGTCTGCGAACAACCATTTGGCAAAATTTTGCTTCTATTCACAAACTCCGCATAGGGTGACAAACACAACCACGGCTGTCTTCCCCATACAAACACAGCCATTTTCCCCCAAATCATAAAACAAATTAAATTTGTAAATTGAGGCACCAGTGTATGGCCTCCTTTGGGATGTCTTGTGTAAGCAACTTATGATTGTGTTTTGTTTTTTTGATCCAGTCTGCCAGTCTGTCTTTTGTTGGGGAAGTAAAGGCTATAGACACTGAGGATTATTGTTATATTTCCTGGATCCTGTTGTTGCATTATTTTTCCAATGGAGAGATGGGTGAGAAACAATATTTATTCACTGAGTATTTTACTTCAACACAAGTATACTAGTGTTTATTATATTCTAATTGTGGCAGATGCTGGGCTATGACAGTGAATAAAGTGTGATGCTCCTGGGGGAGATAGAAAGAGAACAGAAAATTTACAACAAGGTCAAAGGACTGCACTAGAGCAAACTATAGGTTGCTGAGAAATTCATTAAAGAGGTGGTTAGTGCATTTTTGTCTAGAGGAAGATCAAGTAAACAATTTGCTAAAGTTTACAGAACTTAGAACTGATGAGGTCTTTTGAAGTCCCACAGGCAAGGCTGTCAACAAAGCATAATGTGAGCAAAGCATAATATGAATTGAAAAAGTTAAAATTTTTTTGAGTTGAGAATAATTTAATTTATTCCTTTAAAGAATTGGGAGAGGAGCTTAATTAGTTTGTGATTAGTTCATGAAAGACCACAGCATCCCAAAGCCCACACAACATTGTGCTTCAATGACATGTCTGTGCTTTCTTCCAGGTAAGGTGCAGGGTTGTGGTGGGAGGGTCTGGGTGTATTCTGGTTTAGTTTCATTTATTTCTTCCAAGGCTGTGTTGGAAAAGCAATGAACAGCTCTCCTGCTAAGAATTTTGCTTAAGATTTTCTGGGACATAAAAAACTCTAAAAAAAAATTTTTTTTTGCCTTTGTAGCATATTGATCAGAATCTTGGAAGGTCATATGGATCTTAGTAGGAACAAAATTTTAATTAGAAATCATTGGTGAATAGAGTTTATCTGATGTACAAACATTTTCAAAAGTGGAGATCGGGGGGAACTACTGGTCCATTTCATGAGAAGGTCCAAGTCTTTTCCTGAGTCTCCTCATGGCTGACTTCATCTCGTGGTTCCGCAGGGTGTAGATCACGGGGTTCAGCAGCGGGGAGATGACCGTGAAGGTGACATGGACGGGCTTATCC